TGTGCATGTCAAATGTTGTAGTCACGATAGCATGCAGATTTAGTGGCATTAGTACTAGTATACGTCGACGATAGGTAGCAAGTGCGCACGAGCTAGTTATGTACGATACCGACGAGAGCAAAGCGATTGATGTACGACCGATGACTATTCGGAGTATATACGAACGGATTACCGATCGGGAGGTTTTGGAGTTCGAACCGACATGATTCTTACATCCCCTCCTACTCCGAATGTCATGCGGTGCGGCTACTAGTTCTCCTAGGATCAAAAGAGTAGGCGAATGCGTTCTGGAAACTAGTAAAATTAAACAGTTGGATCAGAAGAAATAGTGACTATTTTTATTGTCGATTGCGACAACTCCTTAGGTAAAAGATAAATGTTTGTAGTACCAAACTCGATGCTATGATGTGAAATTTGCATTGCGTTTTTGAATGCAATTATACAAAATTAAGTGCTGAGATGATGTGAAAATAACCCTGAAAATAAATGTTAAAATCCCTGAAAGACGCTGAAATTCTACTTAAGCCTACGAATTGATGTTTTGAAATGCAACGAGAATCTACGTGAAGATGTGAACGATATACGAAAAGCGAATGCGAAAAACGATGTGAAGTTTGCGATTTGAAAAACGATAGGTGCCTACTTACGATGAACGATAAACGATAGGCACTAAACACGATGAGATGCTACTTGTACTTACCATAAATACGACCTAAAAACGTAATAAATATGTTGACTCTGCCTGGTTTGTAACTTCGTTTCTGCCATGCGGTTTCCATGCGGTTTAATGATCCATGCGTGATTCCATGCGGTTTCCAATTTCGTCAAAGGCGGCCATTTTTCCCCAGATGAACCGAAATTGACAGAATGTCGTAAACGAATTCTGTTGCGGTTTCTTGTGCTGGCTCAGCGACAAGCGTGAGAGCCATCGCAGTTTCGGGATAGACAGCGTTTATGTCCTCCTGCGCCCCAAAGAAGTAAAAGTTGTCCACGAAGATTAAAGCAATCACCCCTGACTGCCCCCAGATGCAGGAATCAAGGCGGCACTGAATCCAACCCAAAGAGCAAAGTCGCTCATTGCGGTATTTGGCCCATCCCATTGAGCAAAGACGCCATTGACCCAGTGAGCGGATCTAGGCGAGACATACACTGTGCAGTTGTACAGGCATGCCATTTCGAGGAAGGATGTGTTGATGAATTCACTTCCACCATCGACTAGCCAATTTTGTCCCAAAATGCCTCGGGCTCGAGTCATTTCTAGAAACTGCGTGCTGTGTGAAGCGCTTGGCTTCGTCCCCTTAGGCAAAACCCAAATGACAGAAAACCTGCAGAAAAGGTTCACCGCGTGCAAAATTGCATATCCATGCACAAAGAAGGTATCGAAAGCCAGCCAGTGCTCAAGATGCCTTCCTTGAATTCCCCCGAATCGAAGTCGAGGGGTGGCAGAGCTTCGAAGTCGATTCAAGTTGTTCTTTGGTGCCTACAACATACAATTTTACGC